TTCTTTCAGAGGGGTTGATTAGGTGTCAGTTCTCTCGTGCTCTGTCTGACCCATGTTTTGCAGAACCACAGGCTATCGGCTTGAGCCAAGACAAACCAAAATAGACCCCTACCCCCAAATCCCTGCTCTCTAAGCACTCAGCTAATAAAAACTGTAAGAAATTTCAGATCTTGCTCCAGATCAGGCTGTTGACATAACCAGGCCAGCACGTCTGTTTTATTGACTTCCTAGCGTTAACCTGGTTCCTTAAATGAATTATATAGATAGGACTGTGTTGTCCAAGTGCACTGATGTGTGTCTTTCAAACTCATTGACCAGTGCAGCCGAATCTGAAAGAGGGATAGTGTTCTTGAAACCATTATGTTCTTGCAAATTGTAAGGGAGACAGTCAGACAGAAGATAGATTCTCCTAGGACCACCCCGAGGCGCTGAGCTGTGGGAGCTCAGCCTTCATTAGGCAACAGAAAATCACACAGCATACCCTAAGCTCAATCCAGAACAAAATCCATCAACAACGTTCCTTGGTCCTCAATACTGCTGGTTTCTTGGCCACTTCTGTGGCCATTCCTGGTCACTGCTCAGTGACCATTCCCTCCAGGATATACGGCAGGTTTTTCCCCCTTCTCTGCTCCAGTCTGCTCCCAGCTGTGGTGGGGATGGGGGGTGCTGACACCGCCTGCTCGGGGTGCCGGTGCTCCACTCGGGCATCCCCCAGGCCGGGACACGGCGGGGAGCCCCGCTGCGATGCTCTGCAGGGCCCTTGGGACCCTCGCCGTGCCCCGGGATGGTGCAGGTAGATGTGGCACTTCGGTTTTCACAACTACAATGTGCTGCCTACGTTGCAGGTCGCAGACACTGCCCGAGAGTCTGAAACATACTGCTGTTGTCAGGTGAAATGAAAACAGCTATAAAAAGCTCAGAAAAATATGGGCTCTGGGCAAAAATGATGTGGGGTTTAGTAGCGTGAGAGAGGTCTCGTACCACAGCCGTGTTTGTGGTGTGTGCTGATGGGCAGCGAAACATGAGGCTGCCCCATCCGCAACCAAAAGCTATTTAAAAGTGAATAAAACCAATACGCTGGTAACAGAGTAACAAAATTTATGATAATTAAACTGTCTCTATATAGATGTAAAACTGGTGTGTATTGCGTATCAAGTTAGCTAAAAACCAAGGCAGGGACATGAATGCTAACGAAGGGAACCAGCACTGTGCTCCTCCGCTGCTTTCACCAGTGCTTGCATTACTGAGATGGAGGGTCCTGGGGTCAAAACCTCCTGCAGAACAAAGAGAGGGTGCTGGCAAAGCTAATATGTATTGTATTGGTGTTTTAGACAAGGGCAAGAGGGAAGATGGGTAGCTGTTGGCCTCTTGAGAAAAATGTTTCTGCATGAATTGGACAGCTGATTTTGAATTAATTTTGAATAGTTGTTTCAGTAATTCAGATTGATTTAAGATGCACCCAAGAATAATGCTTTCATTATAAAACCTCCTGAGCAAAATTTAAATCGTGCTAAATTAAAAACAGCCTCTGTTAATCCAGGGCTGATGAGCACAGCAGAGGGATCAGAGATGCGGGGTCAGTATAATTTAATTCCTTTTCTTTGTTTCCCACTCCAGAAAAACTGTTGTACCTGTCTCCTTGGGTTGTTAACTACCTAAAGGAGCTTGCAAGTCGTCCTGGATTCCTCAAAATTGATTTGCATAGTAACCCCACCAAAAGTAGCCCTTATTCTATTTTATACGGTGCTTCACCTTCAGAAGAAATGCACTTTTATTGCTATTCATTTGTGGGTCAATCTGGAAATTCAGTTGTATCCTAAAGATACTTACGAATCTGGAATAACAGCAGCTGATGTACAGTACAGTAGGAGAGTTAATGGTTTCCTAATGCTAGCCTTGTTTGTTGTAAGTAAACTTTCCCTTTTATATAAATGGACCTAATTTTTTGATGTCTTAATAACATGCGAAAAGTTACCCTGCGTGTTCCAAATCACGTTTTATAAAGCATTCTGTCACAAGCAATGGTGGCATTCCAGCGTCAGGGAAACGTTCACTCATCTGGATTTAAATGTTTCAGTGTTCAAAACAAAAAATACATACGTATGTGTATAGATTTGAGTTAAAAACCATTGTGCTTTATAATTTCTTATTTTAAATGCTGGCTGAATTTTTAAAGGCAAATGGCAGAAAATATTTAAGACATTCATAAAAGCTCTGAGCATTGCTGAAAGGCAAGCAGTGAAGTGGCAACCACTAACTAGGCAAAGTCTGATGTATTAAGAAGCACGTTAGAGACTTTGGCTGCATTTTTGGCAATGCCTGTGCAATAGGAATTGCCAGTACTCTCATTAGTAACAAGATCCTTCCAAATACATTGAAATTACTTCTGAAGAGGTATGTATATGAAACATTGTATGAAAATGCCAGTTTGTCAAAACTGAAAGGACTTATGGGGAAATGAAGGGGGCCAGGAGATGTTAACCACCCACACCACATGGTGGGAGTCAGGAAGGTGGAAATGACCTAAGGCCAAAAGTGTTGTTTCTAGAGTTCATGAATTTCTGTGCCGTGATACCAAGCCGTGGGTGAGAGCTGTTGCAGGAGCCAAGGGCTGGTGCTGGCACCGCCGGTGCCTTGCTCCACCGGTGCTGACCCTGCACCTGCGCGGCTGGGACCCCACCACTGTCCTGACCAGCTCCAAAAAGTGCCTCTCCGAGGCGGTCCGGCCGGCGCTCTGCGGAGCTGGTCTGGCAGGAATTAGGTGTTTAAGGCTCATAGTAGCAACTTCTCTTTCTAGCAGAGGTTTTGGGCAACCCAGCGGACAGTGTTTGCCTTCAGGTGCTTGGATAAGGAAGCGCCAGGTGCCCGGTGAATGCGGCCGTGGGCAGACAGGTGTTGTCCGAGAGCACCGCGGCTCTTTGAGGTCTGCTGTTATCAAGGTTTCTGAGTTCCTTGTAAATCTGTAATACAACTCTAAACTTAGCTGATAAGACTATTTGCTAAAGACACCTATTTTAATTAAAATCCTGCAACAAAAATCCCAAATTGGTAATACTAGAAGTTTAAGCTTAAAGGTTTTGACAGCATTTTATAGGTCCCTTTTCAATGAACTCTTACGAAGCCATGTTTAAATATCTAATTTTTTAAATTCTTGTCAACTCATTTAAAGCACTTATTCATCTATACTTTCTGTGATTACAACAGACTGAGAACAGTTGAAAGTCCTCAGGAGCACTCTGGTTTGTCTATCCATGCGTTCAGAAAGGAAGGGAAAGAGAACAAGACCAAGTCACTGCGCTGACAGGAATACTCAATGGCACTACAGCACATTCTGCATGTATTTCACAAAGAGGGTTTGTTCCCAACCAACACCAAACGTTTCCTTGACCCCAACTTTCCTGTCACAAACATGTAACAACATATGTGTGAATGTGCATAAGCGAGTGTAGATAGACAGATAGGTGCGATCATTATTAAGCAGAAACCAGAAAATAGAACCGTATTTTCATGCATTTCCCACTCATGGAGAGGTCGCGTAAACAAGCCACCCAGGACAGGTGTCCCTCTGAAGCTGCTCAGATATGATGGTGGGGACAGGAGGGTGGGAACTGACCAGTACGGACCAGTCAGAATATGGAAAGCTGAACCACAGGGTGTGGGGGAGTGCTGGGATCCAAAGCCCAGCTTCGATTTCCAAGTAAGCACTGACTTCTTTTCCAGGGTAAGGAACTTAGCTTTTGCCATATGAACTTGCAAACTTTGCTTAGATGTTAAAAAGGAGGAAAAAGGGATCTTCTGGTGACTATGACAAACATGTTCTACATTTTCACTTAATGAACAAATTCAGACTTGCAGTTGTCATATGCTCAGATTCTGTGCCTTTCTGACAGCTGAATTATGATTTTAATAATTTAAAAGTGCTACTGTGAGCCTGTTCATGTATAATAGGCACAGAGAAGTGTTTAAAATCAAAAGCAGTTTAGAGAAAAAGTGGTCACCGTATTACAGGAATGAGAATTGTCTACATCTGAATATTAAACTCTGTGAACTCTCCAGTGGGAATACTCTTTGCAAAGTAACTACAAACTTAGTATATTGTTCTGATGTGTGGAATTAAGAGTTTGCATTCAATCATAACTTTGTGACTGACTGAAGCAGCAGCCTGTGATGCCTACTTTCTTTTACATAACGCCGTCAGGGTGAGGGCTTGGTCATTCTGCTTACAAAGGTTTTAGTTCAGAGCAACAGAAGCTCAAATCTATAATCTCAGTAGAAACATCTGTAAGACAAAAATGAAATATAACGGAAAAAAGTGCCCTCCAGGCTACATTCCCTTGCTTTGATATTATTATCTTTGTACCTGTCCATGGGAATGTTTGAAATTCTACTGCAACTGCTACAGCATACTTGTATTATTTTTTAAACTCACAACTAAACACAGACAAGAAGCTCATATCCTGCTCAATTAAGTAATAAACAGATCATGTCCTGGAGATCACTGAGTATTTTCAGTATAGTGGCCCACAATATCCATCTGAATTCAGCAAATCTATAGTTCCTGGCATGTCAAGTGAAGAAACAATGACCGACATCATGAAGAGAGACAACATATACATCAGCAACTTTGTGTAAAATCTATGGCTCGAACAAATGTCTGAAAAAACCCATCAGCTGTAGTTGCCAGCTCCCTCGCACTCATATTAACTTTTCTCTCCTGCAAAAGGAGTGCGAAACAGGACCTGCTACTGCACAGCCTTGCTCCTCCTGCACTCATTTACCATTGCGCCAAGTATTTGTCAAGTGGGTGTAAGTGCTTTTTCTGTTTTATACAACTTCACATAAGCATAAATTGCAGAAGTTGTAAGGCAAAGAACAATCAAGCCCTTAACAGTTCCAGCCCCTTTTCGAACATGCGCCCAGGAAAATGCTTAGAAGTAACTTAAGTCAAGCTCCTAGTACATGCTTGCCTGCTGCTCAGTAAAAGAAAAAGTAATACTCACCCCAGTGTTGTCATGGTTACAATAGTGTACCAAAAGGAAGCAGGAATACTGGTGAATTTGCTTGCCGAGGACCCTTTCTCTGCATAAAACATCACAGTTGCAAAGATGATGATTGCCATAGTGAGGGAAAAGAGGAGAAAGCCAAGCTCGGAGGCACAGCTCTTCAAAGTGTAGCCCAAGATTCTTAAGCCTTGGGAATGGCGAGAGAACTTGAAAATCCTGAAAACCCTAAAAACCCTTAGTGTCACAAAGGCTCCGCTGACATCCTCATTGTTGGTCATCACCAAGCCAATGTAGTACGGCATGATGGCCACGACGTCAATGATGCTCATCACACTTCTAATGAATCTGTAGCGACTTGGGGCCGCAAAGAGTCTCAACAGATACTCAACCGTGAAAATCATCACGCAAGCCGTGTCCAAGCAAAAGAAAGCCACAGCATATCTTTCCCCACATGGAAGCTCCTTGTTCCCAGGCACCGTGCCACAAGGGACAGTTTCCACGACATTAGTGATCACAGAGACAGCAATAAAGAAACCGGTGACATAGTAAAAGACTAAGGCTAAGGTGCTGGTGTGGGGGTTCTCGAAGGCTCGCCACATGGTCTGCCGGAAGCTCAGGGATGGCATGGACCCTTCTTGGTTGTTTTCTGAGTCATTGTCATCCATCAGCCGCTCCGCGTTTTCCCGCTTTCTGTCTTTGTACTCTTCATAGCAGCAGTCCCCAATGATTTCAGGGAGGATCCCATAGAAGGCAAGCTCTTCATCATAAGCAGAGATGCACTCATACCTGGGATAGTGCAGCTTGCCAGTTCTATAAAAATTCAAGATGCACCTAAAGACCTCAGGGTCCCGGTCAAAGAAGTACTCCTTAGTGTCTTCGTTGAAGAAGAACTCCTTCTCAGTGCTGCCCAGGAGAGTGTCCGGGTATCTCTCCAGTGTAGTCCTCCAGGTCTGGAAACGCCTGCCACTCACATTGAGAATGATCAGCTCATCCTGCCTCTTGTTTTTCTCCGTTGGAGCCAGTGGCATGGGACAGTTGGCCACTGGCATCCATCCTATGGCGGCTGCTCTGGCAAAGGGCAACCATGCTGCTACTCCTGCTGCCATGATGACCCCAGGCCTTGTTACTGGAGAAGACAGTTAGGCTGCTCCTGAGACCTGTTGGAAGTCAGATCAGTTCCATCTAAAATACAGAACAAAATAAAAACACAACACATAGTCAAGTGAGGTGTCTTGCCCCGTTGTGTGAGAGAGTCAGGTATCAGTACATACACAAGAATTTAAAACAACTGGCTTGCCCTCATCTCCCATTTGAAGAATGATGTTAAACAAGGCACATGATAATCAGCTCAGCGGGGTTATGGCATTATTATAGATTGAAATTTTAAATAGCAAATGATTCCTCATTAAAAGCATTTTAAAAGTAGCATAAACACACTAATTTATATTTGCTTCCTTACAAACAAGACTAATCCATAATTCCCCAGGTGTAAGCCTCATGTGCTCATCAGTTTAACTACAGCTGTCAAGAAAGAGCTGGGAACTCCAGTGAAATCAGCTTGCAGTTCACCCAGTGAAATTGTATGCCATGAAAAGCCACGACTGGACTGAGCTGGGTTTCCAGTCTTAAAAAAGTTCAATATGTAATGAATCTTGCACTAAGAACATTTTCAATTGAAAGAAACAGAAAATCTTCCCTGGTTTTCATTAGTTTTCTTCCACCTTTAATTAAAGACTTGGCCTCAGCAGCAAGTTTTTGCTCATCCCTTTCATTTAGAGATGGGTTTTACTCTTGTGAAATATTGCATCCCTCCACCGGACCAAAGGAAAATTCTGACTTTCAGGGAAACATTGCTCAGAATACATGAGCAACAGTAAGCCTGAATCCCAGGTGTGAAAGCTGATGGATTAAGCTACCAACTGAGTACCAAGAACATCAGAATGAGGGAAGCCTCCAAAGCTGGACAACTTTCTTCCAGCAGGAAACCTTATTTCCTAGCTAACAGAGGCAGAAGTCCTTCAGCCAAAGAACTGAAGGACTATTAGGTTGAAATGAAGTATGTTCACTGCATTCTTGATTTTTAGATGAAAAATATCCGAAGTTGTCCAGATCCTCAGCCACGGGAAGCCAACATTCTCTTGAAGTTAGAGTAGTTATTGTGGTTCTGATCTAGCCATGAATTTTCTTTTTCTTTTTGATCTTTGGTCAGAGTTCTTACAATATTTAACTTTTGTTTTAACTTGTATTTACTTTCACTTCCCTAAAGTTTTTCTAAGTCTACCGTAAAATTTTCTGGAGAAAGGTGCCATTATCATATAAGATGCATTAAGGGCCCTATCAAAAGTCAATTTATCAATGGAAATTCCACTGATTCCACTGACTCAGGCCCTCAAAGCTTAACTACATCCTCTACATGGTATCCTTCTAGGCAGTTTTACTCTGAAGTTTTTTAATTATATGAAAGCTGCCACTCCAGCCAGTAAGGCTGCAGCATTATTGATTTCAACAGGCCATCAAAATACTGAATAAAAAATGATGGAATCAATCTGTGGTGAAAATGACTAAACTTCTCACAGAAATGCTCTTCCTCTTCAGGGCACATTAACATTCATCACCTTAATGTGGAGCATCTTTCTATGCAATTTTACTATCTAAAGGACAATTGAAATCCCTCGTGCAAGCATCTTACTGCTGCTGGAAGAGGTTTTGTAATTACGAAACATATAATAATCCATAGCGATGCTCATCCCAAGGAGACACTTTGCTTATATACATGGCACTGGAGCAAACATCCCATAATATTTTCATATAAAGAATTGTTCAATATTACTATGCACTATTTTTTCTCTCCCACTAAAGAGGGAATTTATTGCGTTAATAGTGCCAGACTGACAGCCCTGGAGACCAGGCTCTTTCGTCTGTGCGGGGAAGAGGCAGAGCACAGCACTGCAAACTTTCTCCGCACGACTTTGAAAATATGCCCCAGTCTCCAGCTGAAAGGCAATCTCCCAGGGCTCGGTGGGCTCAGGCAGCAGAGCTGCCAGTTTCTTATACCAGCAGTGGTGGATCTTTCAACTTTTATGAAACACTGCATTAAGAACAGGACTGCAAAACAGGAGGCAGCAAAATGAGAACCATTTCATTCATTAATCACCAAATATATACAGGCAAATAACCAAGAGACCAAGATAATGCATCCCATTCCTGTTTTCCCTGCTGGTAAACTATCTTCTCTGCTTTTTAATTTCAATTAGCGGCACCACCACAGTCATTCTACCAGGACTGATTGGCGATGTACGGTGACCTGACCAGCTACAGTACACTGGATCCTCATCTCCCCTAATTTCTCAGGGGAACCTCGTTAGAAATCTCTTCTGTACTTTTATAACTTTGGTTGTAAATTCCAGGTTACCTACATTAGCTGCTGAGGCACTATAAATACTTCACATATAATTGTTCTAATAAAGCACTGGTAACTCATAAGTGACTTACACATTTTTAAATCAATTTTTAAAGATAAAATGGGTCCTTCCATACTGTATGTGGGGAAGCTATAAATATCTCAGCTATGAAATGGACAGGAGATGAAAACAAAAGAGAAAGAGAGGGATATTCTTCTGTGAAAGTTTCGTTCCCATTTCTCTGTGACCAAGAGATGCAGCTGGTTAAGAAAATGTAGTGCACCCAGGTTAATTTTCAAAGTTACATTAAGTCTGTCCCATTTGATCCTCAAAATACACAAAAAGAGAGTCTTTTTCAGCTATAAATTGTCTGAAAGACTGAGAGGGAAAAGAGTAATGAAATCCCCTATCACAGAGGTTTTGCTTGTTCTTGTCCATGAGTCCTTGGAACTCCACCCCTCCCCAAAGTAAGAGACAGAAAATTAAGAGAGAGAGAACTGGATTTGTAATTCAGAGCTGCGCAAACTAAGCTGAGTAAAAAATGTGAAGTAACTGGTTTATCTAGAGAATGTGGAAAGAATCCTCCTTTTCTGCATGCCTGGGGTTTGGTAACTGCTAACTAGTCTTTTTAGGCCGGAAAGCAATTGGCCAGGCTCAAAATCTACTGTACAGTTGACAGTCTCTTCAGCTCACATAGCAAACAGATGCACTTTAGTCCTAACAAGCATATGTTTAGCTATACACGTATTCCTCATTTCAATTACTGCAATTTCTGCATGTAATTTGAAAGGAACTAGTTAACAAAAGATTAGTACCTTGCTGATGACATTCAGAAGACCTGGTACACGAAATAAAATAATTTGCCCCCTTCTGATTTAAAAAAGTCAGCATCTATAGAGAGCAGAATCTGTTTTCTTTAGATAATTATGAGGACAGTGAAATGGTGCAAGCAAATTTGACAGAAAAGCTTGTGGCCTGAGCCCCCTGTCCCCCTCCCAGGGCTCCCGACCCCAGCTGAGTCCCTCCCCGACCACCGCTGGCTCCCGCAGGTCCTCTGCGCTCCAGCCGCGTCGTGGGCACCATGGTTCCATCCCAGTTTCAAACAAAAACCTGACAGGCACGGCTAGGTCAGTAAAGCTCTGGAGGAAAACTTTAGAGAACACAGTTTTTTCTATTCACCTAAAGTGTCAAGAAATGAACAATGGATTCTTACCACATTAGCTCCCGCTGGCAATGCCATACTTAATAAACGTCTCTTCATAGTCTCATGAAAGCAGAAACAAAACAAAAATCTCATAGTGTTTCCCTTTCTAGAAGCAGGCAGGGATGATTTAAAATGCAACTGATAAACATACTGTTAGTTTCTTGATGAGACACTGCTAATGAGAGTGAAGAGCCTTGAGATCATTCGTTCTCTCCTTTCCTGTCCTTGTTGGGTCAGGCTCAGACAGCAGAGAGATATTTGCTTTAAAGCAAAATATGTCAGCCAAAGCTTCGATATCCTCTGTCAGTCACATACTCCTTTCCCTTCGCAATCACATCAGATAATAAAACTTTCTGCAAAACATTCACTCTCTCAGTCCGTCGGAGAGATTTAGGAGCAAAAGCAACAGGCTTAGGATAAATGCATGCAAACTTCTCCCCTCCCTCCCAGTCAGCCCAGAGAGCCCCATCTTGCTGGCTCGCAGCAATGCCTTACCTGGCAAGGAAAGACACTCTCAGCACCCAAAAGTAGGGCTACATCTGGGGAACTGGAAGGAAGGGGGAGCAGTCACTCCTGCGGATAAAAGGTGAACTGTGCTGCCTGCCTCTTGACTCCCTCTCTAAATGCAGTCAGAAGCAATCAGTAAATGTGATCATCATTGTGAAAGTATATATAGAGAGATGACTAAACAGCTTCTCCCTCATTACTGCCGAGACGGAGTCTCTCCCTACCTCTCTCGCCTGAGCTTGCCTCGTTTTGCCCCCTCCCCTTCCAGTACCGCTCGGAGCTTTGCTCTCGCTGCCTAACCCAGCTGGGAACGGCACCCGGGTCCCGGAGAGTCCGCTCGCCTGGATGCAGCAGGGAGATGGACCCAGCTGGTCCCAGGGAGGCAGGCTGTGAAGCGAGACTGAAGAAAGGCGATGTGAGCTCGCAGAGGCACTGTCAAATGGAGTCGTTAAATACACCCCAGAGCCTACCCTGCATGCTAATGTGCCAGCAGTGGCGGGGGGGGATAAAGGGGGGAAAAGTACGGGATGAACTTCACTGGTCCCTCCTGGAGCTCCCCGTGTGTCCCTGACTCTCGGGCAGGCGGGGACCGTGCAGGAGCGGTCCCTTCTCCCGGACAAGAAAATGAGCTATTCCTCCAGCATCATGAACCTACGACCAACACCTTAGCCAGGGCAGGAGGCTGCCCCGAGGAATAAAATTAAATAATTCAGGCTTAAACCGATCTTTGGCTCTCTCCTCCTCCCCTCTTCCTTCCCACCACCTGTCCCCTTTCCCCCTCGTCCTGCCGTTCTCGCTTGCCCTGCTCCATGGCAGCTCTTACCAGTCCAGTCTGGCACCACCTCAGCATCCCCCTTTCATCCACGGTCAGAAGTTGGACTCCGCACGCTCAGAGCCCCGGCATCCTTGCTCGTTTATCTGTTTGCCGGCGAATCTCCGTTAAGTAAATAACTATACGCCCAAATCCGAGCAAACCCGTCTTGCCCTGCTCTGC